TGGGCAGGACTCGAGAGCCACCTGTCAATGTACAGCCCCGAGTGGGAGCCAAGATACCATTTCCTCCCCGGGCCCGCAGCAAGGAGCGCCGAAACCCAGTTCCTGGGCCAAACCCCATGTTACGACCTTTGCCACCCAGACCATGTCCCCCAGATGAAAGGCTCAAGAAACTGGAACTGGGTCGGGGTCGGACCTCAGGCTCTCGTCCTAGAGGCCCCCTCCGAGCAGATCATGGGGTTCCCTTGCCTGGCTCACCGCCCCCAACTGTGGCTCTGCCTCTCCCATCCCGGACCAATTTAGCCCGTTCCAAGTCTGTGAGCAGTGGGGACTTGCGTCCAATGGGGATTGCCTTGGGAGGGCACCGTGGCACCGGCGAGCTAGGGGCTGCACTGAGCCGCTTGGCACTCCGGCCTGAGCCGCCCACTTTGAGACGTAGCACTTCTCTCCGGCGTCTTGGGGGCTTCCCTGGCCCCCCTACCCTGCTCAGCATACGGACAGAGCCCCCTACTTCCCATGGCTCCTTCCACATGATATCTGCCCGACCCTCTGAGCCTTTCTACTCTGATGACAAGATGGTGAGGACTTGCCAGCACACGTGGGCTCCCATGACCATTTTCCTCTTGCCTTCAACTCTCTTGTCGTGATATGGCTTTCTTGTTCCCTTCTCCAAGTTCCCTTGTCAACCCCTTATTACACCAGTGGACTCTTCTCCTTTCTGAGGCCTTCTAGATATTATTTTGGGTTGTATATGATTCTTCAACTCCATGCGCCATTCTGGTCCCTAGGGAATTAACTATTTAGAATTCTTCTTTAGGGCCTTAGGCCTGCCCGTTTAAGGCAATTTCTCTCCTAGGACTGGGCCTAGACCTAATTAATCCCTGGGTTGAAGAGGGGCGGAGTTAGAGCACCTGGGCTGAGAAGGGGCGGGGTTAGAGCATCTACTGCTACTGTTGCCCATTTCCTGAGCTAAGTGAGCTAAGCTGCTTGCAGTTGGAGCCAGCAGGACAGGGCGCAAGAAGGGGCCACGGGGGCAGGAGGGGGATTTGGGGGCAGTAAAGTGGGGGTGGGGAGCAGCTGGGCAACCATGCCAGTGCTTGGGGAATTGCCTCAGGAGCTGCAGCGCCGGCTAGCTGGGCAGCGGAGTAAATGGGGAATAGGTGTGACAGCCATGGCTGAGTCTGTGGTACACTCAGCTGTGATGGGTTTACTACTCATGACCAATGAGGTAGGAGAACCAGGGAGGGCAAAAGGGTCTCCCGAATAGGGTGGGGGAGACAGACATTCAGCAACATGCTGTTGAAAGTGCCGTCTAGAAAATGACTGTACTCTGACCTTCTAGGCTCATCACACCCTGCTTCTGGGCTCTGGTCATGTTGGCCTCCGAAATCTGGGAAATACAGTAAGAGCCATTTTCCTGTTCTTTCCTCTGTAAAGGGAGTGTGAAATGGTGTTGGGGGTGGAGCCAGCCTGCAAGTTTGGGGAAGGCACACAGGAGAGCAATGACCTCTCCTTAAGGTTGGTTGGACCCCAGACTGGAAAGGTAATGGCAGTGTCCCCGCTGCTTCCCCAGTGTTTCCTGAACGCCGTGCTACAGTGTTTGAGCAGCACAAGGCCTCTTCGAGACTTTTGTCTTCGGAGGGACTTCCGACAAGAGGTCCCTGGAGGAGGCCGAGCCCAGGAGCTCACGGAAGGTGGGCAACGTCCTTCTGATTCTTCTGTTCACTTCCCCCATCCTTTCAATTCGATACCCCAGTACCTATGGTTCCCAGCCCTTCAATCTGACACATCCACTTTCTGGGTTCCTCCTTTCTAGAGGTTTTCTCTCCACTGACTCTCCTCTTGCCTGCTCTTCTAGACACTAACCTTTGTAACCTTCCCCACTGTCACACCAACAGCCTTTGCAGATGTGATTGGTGCCCTCTGGCACCCTGACTCCTGTGAAGCTGTGAATCCTACTCGATTCCGGGCTGTCTTCCAGAAATACGTTCCCTCCTTCTCTGGATACAGGTGGGGAAACTGAGAGGACGGACGTTCTCTCTGACTGGGGCTGGGGCCAAGCAGGGGCTACAGCTCCATCGTTCGGAGCCTTGAGAATTTCTGCACTGAGGATATAGGGATCCATATTTGGGCAGGGAATACTGTCTGTGGACTAAGAGGGGATCAGTTGCTCATATTCTGTCTGGCTGTAGCCAGCAGGATGCCCAAGAGTTTCTGAAGCTTCTCATGGAGCGGTTGCATCTTGAAATCAACCGACGAGGCCGCCGGGCACCACCAATCCTGGCCAGTGGTCCAGTTCCCTCTCCACCTCGCCGAGGAGGGGCTCTGCATGAAGAACCAGAACTAAGGTAAAGGCTGCTCCCTCTTGCTCCTCTCCCCAGTAGCAATCAGTCGTCACGGAACTGGGCTAACTGAAACTGGAAATGTGGGGCCTTGGGGAAGACCCTTGAGCATAGAAAAATAAATGGTTTGTCACTACAGGAAAGGACAGAAGGGAGGAGGAGGAGGGAAGCTGAAGGATGCAGATAGAGGCATAAAATAGAGTTGGAGGTGTCACTAAATTGGGAAAGGAGGGATCTTTTACAATGAAATATACCAATGGGCTTGCAGAGGTGGGATGGCACTTTTCCTTTATATACTTTTCCTCTCATCCTGGACTTCCCCAGGAAGTTCTTGAAAGAATTACTCCTTTGACTAGAAATTTAGGGAAGGAGCTGGAATGCGGCTAGGGAACAGGGCTCTGGATAATTTCAATGGCTTGGGGGTACCCGGTATTATAACTGTCTCATGGATGCTCCCTCCCTTCCCTTGATCTGTGGTAGTGATGATGATCGAGCCAATTTAATGTGGAAGCGCTACCTGGAGCGAGAAGACAGCAAGATCGTGGGTATGGAATGGGCAGAACTGGGGGTTTGGGCTTGGGAGAGGAATGAGAGCGAGGCTGGGTGATGATGGGAAGTGGTTTGTAGAGCCGGGTGGCGGCAGTGTTGAAGTCAGAAAGGCAGGTCCAGCAAGGGCAGGATTCCGAGAGAGCACCTTCGGCGTCCAACAGTGACTTTCTCCTGCTTTTTGCTTCTATCCAGACCTGTTTGTAGGCCAGCTGAAAAGTTGCCTCAAGTGCCAGGCCTGTGGGTATCGCTCCACAACCTTTGAGGTTTTTTGTGACCTGTCGCTGCCCATCCCCAAGGTGGGATTCTGGAGGGTTCCAGGGATGGATGAAACATGGGTTCTGTGACCCAGCCCTATGTGTGGGTGGGAACCATGTGGGCCTCTAAAGAAGAATTGAAGCCTGGATTATGAAAAGATAAAAGATTTAAAAAGAAAGAAAGAAATTCAGAACATGCTGACCCTTCCTTCCTTCCCCCCCAGAAAGGATTTGCTGGGGGCAAAGTGTCTCTGCGGGACTGTTTCAGCCTTTTCACCAAGGAAGAAGAGCTAGAGTCGGAAAATGCCCCAGTATGTGGGGGTTTACAATGGTGGGAGACACGTGGGAGTCTGTCTGGATAAAAGGAGATGTATACTTCCTTAGTTGGGAGTAACAGTTACATGTCTGGGTGTGTTAAAGTTAGGGTCTCAGATATGTTGTATGCCTAAGTTGGGGGGGGGCAAAGCAATGAGAAACATACTAAATTTATATGTGAAGTGGGGTGTCAAAAACGAGCTGAGGTGAGAACACATCGACCTAACACTATTTGCTGTTTACTTAGGTGTGTGACCGATGCCGGCAGAAAACACGAAGTACCAAAAAGTTGACAGTACAAAGGTTCCCCCGCATCCTCGTGCTCCATATCCTAATCTTCGCGTCCTTATTCCTCTAGGGCATCTCCCATACACTGTTTCCTCACCTTCATTGAGTTTTTCTTGAGAAAAACCTGGCACCCCAACTTTCTTTGCCATCTTTCAGGACATGTTGGGGGAACAGAGGGTACTGAATTTCTTACTGCAGCTCCCTTAGAGACCCTCAGCCTCCCAAATGCTCCTTAACCAGGGCTTAGATCTGAATCGATTTTCCACCTCCCGAGGCTCCATCAAGAAAAGTTCAGTAGGTGTAGACTTCCCGTTGCAGCGACTGAGCCTAGGGGACTTTGCCAGTGACAAAGTGGGTGAGTCTGGTGGGGAATGCCCTGCGGCACCTTCAAGGGTGGGGCACAACTCTTGATTGTAGAAACTAACCTTGTCTAACCCGCAGGAAGCCCTATCTACCAGCTGTACGCTCTTTGCAACCACTCGGGTAGTGTCCACTATGGACACTACACAGCCCTGTGCCGGTGCCAGACTGGTTGGCATGTCTACAATGACTCCCGGTGAGCCCGCCTCTTATTCAACTCCTGCCCCATCGCACTGCAGCCCTGGCATCCCCTCCCCTCCTCTGAGACCCCAAAAGATGAGCTCCTGACAAAGGCTGGGTGGAGTCTCTCCTGAGCTCCACCTGGGTACTCTGAGTTGAGGCCTGTAGGGAGGAGGGGGAACACACAGGAATAACTACAACTACTCCCTATTTCTATTCGTAGTGTCTCCCCTGTCAGTGAAAATCAGGTGGCGTCCAGTGAGGGCTACGTGCTGTTCTACCAACTGATGCAGGAGCCGCCGCGGTGCCTGTGACACCATCTTGAAGCCCTGGCACCTGTGAAAACCTTTTCAACACCCTTAAGCCCCCAGGCTCCCCATTTACCTCAGAGACGTCTATTTTTGTGTCTTTTTAATCGGGGAGGGGGGTGGTTGTAGCTCCCATTATTTTTTTTATTAAGAAGCACCCTTTCACCTTGTTTCCTGTCCCATGTACAGAGCTCACCAGGCCCTTGACCATGTACAGCCCCCAGACCTCTGCAATCTCACTTTTTGTGAATAAATTTATTAAGAAAAAGTGATGTTCACCTTTATATTTGCGAGTAAGAGGGAATGGATATCCAGCATTTGGTTCAATTGGAGCCCAATTCCGTCTCTGAACAGGCGGGGGCGCTCTCAGAGCAGAAGGAAAAGAACAGGGATTGAGTAGGCCAATACTTGTGCCCTAAACGGAGTTTTAGTATTACTCGGAAGAAAAACCTTGAGACTTGAAGCGGCGGAGAGGCCTAAAACTAGAGCGCAGGCATTGGCATGCCGGGTTTTGCCGGCGAGGGGAACTGCCCCTCGAGAGCAAGGCACCCAAGAACCCCTGTTGACAAACACTGGTTTCGTTGCCGGGTGGCCTTTGCTCCCGTAGGCCCTGACTGTTGCTAACATCAAAGAGCTGTTTATGGAACCACCTCCCCACGGACAGGCCTCCAAGTGTCTCTCTCCAACCAGGGCTCATGAGGCCCTCCCTCCAGGGTTCTCACCACAGGCCTAGGAAGCTTGAGCTGGGGAATGCTAACTCCCGGATTCAGCTTTTCACTGCCTTGGCCCTGGGGAAGGCGGTGCCGGCTACGGCAACTAACTCCGATTAGGCAAAGAACCGGTTAACCTGGTAGCGGACTCCGGACGTAACTGCTGCTCCGCTGGTAACGTCACTGCCAATCCGGTGTTTTCATTGGTGGATGTATCCAGCGCTCACCAATCCAGAGCCTACTTTCCAGGACCCACCAATCCCGAAGCAGTAAAGCGAAGCGCAGCTGCGGGAGGACTGAATGGAGTAGACGGAGAGTCGGAGGGACCCTAAAAGTTAGGGGCGGGGATCCTAGACTTGAACCTGCTTACCCGCTGAGCCTGGGAAAACCGCTTACTGCAGAATTCTGGCCCCCGGAGGGTTTGAGCTAGGAAGATAGCGCGGGCGTGGGCCTTATCTGCACACCCACAGAAGACACTGGTCCTAGGGCCTCTTTATCACTCATTTTCCCTGGTTCCCCCTATCTTGTGGGTAAGTCCTGGCCTCTGAACGAAGACCTCACTCTTCTACCAGCAAGTACACGCGCGCCCTGGCTTAGATGCGCACAAATCAGTAAGTGCCTAGAAGTGGAGTACGGGACCAGTGGGGGTTTCTGCAGTTGTAAAACAGGGTACCTCCGGTTCTGCCGGGTATCTTGACCTTTCCCTAGGCCTTACAATGGGCCGGACTGTGATCGTGCTTGGCGGGGGTATCAGTGGATTGGTCGCAAGTTATCATCTGACCCGAGGCCCCTGTCCCCCTAAGGTGAGTTCCCACTAGAACCAAAGAAAGACTAATTTAAAACTCTTAACATTTCCCATAAAAACTGAATAGATTCTGTTCCATGGAATATGAAGTTTCCCCTATCCCTAGTCCCTTTCCCCTGAACCCACAGTGTCTCACTTTTGGCACCAGGTGATCTTAGTGGAGGGCAGCAAGCGTTTGGGAGGTTGGATCCGCTCAGTCCGAGGAACAGATGGTGCTATCTTTGAACTTGGACCTCGAGGAATTAGGCCAGCTGGAGTGCTGGGAGCCCGGACCCTGCTCCTGGTGAGCGTCTTGTGGAATGTGTAGGACAGACAGGTGATTGGGGGAGGGGAGGAGCTTTCCAAAGGGAGAGAGAGAGAGAGGCAGAGGGGAAAGACATTTGTTGGGTCAGTTTTTCCTTAGTGTCTCCTCTTCCTGAGGGCTTGTGGAGAACAGGTTTCTGAGCTTGGCTTGGAGTCAGAAGTCTTGCCTGTCCCGGGGAATCACCCAGCTGCCCAGAACAGGTTCCTGTATGTAGGGGGTGCCCTGCACCCCCTACCCTCTGGCCTCAGGTAACGCTCACCTCCTAACTGTACACTTACCTCTTCCCTCTGCTCCCTGTCAGCCCTTCCAGCCACAGGGGTTAAATGAATGAAATTAATACCCAGGAGCTGGGAAGGTGACTCGGGGAGCTTTCTTTTCACCATGCCTTCCTCCATGCAGGGGGCTACTCCGCCCTTCACCCCCCTTCTCCAAACCTCTGTTTTGGGCTGGGCTGAGGGATTTGATGAAGCCCAGGGGCAAAGAGCCTGATGAGACTGTGCACAGTTTTGCCCAGCGCCGCCTTGGACCTGAGGTGACACTGCTCAGACAGAGGTGGTCTCAACCCTCTCCCTCCTAAACCAGCTGCTGTATCTAGGGATGTCCTCTTCCCATTACTCGGTGTTGGGAATAAACCACCCTTTGGTTATAGTGGGAACACCCCTCAACACAAACTCTCTCCCTTCCTCATTCCTCCCAAGCAGGGGCAATGGAAATCAGTCAGGGTGGCTTATTCCTTGACCCCTCAGACCCAGTCTTACCCTTAAGGTGGCATCTTTAGCCATCGACAGTCTTTGCCGAGGAGTGTTTGCAGGCAACAGCCGTGAGCTCAGTGTCCGGTCCTGCTTCCCCAGTCTCTTCCAAGCTGAGCAAACCCATCGGTCCATATTACTGGGGCTGCTGCTGGGGGCAGGTGAGGGGAGGGGCATTGGCTCAAAGGGTGAATTATAAAGCCTGAAAAAGTGAGGTGCTTTGTACACGGGGTACTATTTTGATTATACATATTTGTCTCCTTTTAGGACGGAGTCCACAGCCAGACTCCTCATTAATTCGTCAGGCCCGGGCTGAGCGGTGGAGCCAGTGGTCACTCCGTGGAGGGCTGGGGATGTTGCCCCAGGCCCTTCACGACCACCTAACCAGTAAAGGAGTCACCATCTTCAGAGGCCAGCCAGTCTGTGGGCTCAGTCTCCAGCCAGAAGGGCGCTGGAAGGTAGGAGAACCCTCTGGAGTATTGTCAACCTGTATCAATGTTATTGGATTTGTTGTTGCTGGTGTTGTTATATTTAATATTGCAAAAATACATTTAAACAAAAAGTATCATATGAAAATGTGCATGACCCGATTTTATACTATAGTCAAACAGGACCTCTGGGGAGGGATGTGGACATCTCTGCTGAATACCCATCTCTTTAAACTTGGTCCAAGACTTAAAAACACGTTTGCTCATGTGACTTCCATCCTAATATTCCTTGGTCCACTAGTTATCATCTCTACACACCTCCCGGTCACAAGATTCATAAAGGCGTCAAAGCCCTGCAGTATTCCGTGGACAGACCTGCCACCTTTTAATGTCAGTGATAATTTCTTGTCCACAAATTTCTTCTGCTATGGAACAAGGGGGTGGAGAGGATGAAGAAATAATTCAGCAATTAAGAGTACATACTGCCTTTGCAGAAGACCCGGGCTCCAGTCCCAGAACCCACATCAGGTGGCTCACCACTGCCTAGAATTCCTGCTCAGGGGCTCAGACGACCTCTGCTGGACTCCACAGACTCCTGCACTTGTGCACGTGCACACTGTTTCACTATCTTTGTCTGAGTGGTTTAACCAGCTCAGGTCTGATGGCACTGGACTTACTGTTTTCTTGCCTTAGAGAAGCTCTTTGGATATTGGCTACCTCAGGTTCCTAAGCTTTAAGTGTGAACCTTCCTCAAACAGCCCTTATAGATGTGAATAGAAGTGAATAGAAGTAATTCTTTGGAGTGTCTGGGAGAGGGAGAGGACAACCCGCCTTCATTGACCATTTCAGAGCCACACTGACCTCTTCCTGGTCCACCCTCTGGATTATGCAGAGGACTTTTGTTGTTCAGATGATATTGTCATTCCCAGTCTTCATCCTGGGTCAACACCCAGTCTTTCCTGTCTCTTGGGTATCTGGGAAGCTAAGAGTGAGGCAGCAAATGTCACTTACCTCTAAAGTCCTCATAATACCGTTCTCTCTCAAATGTTATCACTCAGGTGTCTCTAGGGGACAGCAGTCTGCAGGCTGACCACATTATCAGTGCCATTCCAGCTGCAGGTAATGGGACAGTCCCTCCCTTCCCTAACCACCAGGAGGCGATAGTATGCCTTCCTATGCCAGCAGGGCCACACTGGGTTCCTGAGCTGGTCATCCATGAGGGATTCCTATAAGACAAAGCTAGCCTACTATGAATGCCTCTGCCTGATCCCCAGAGCTCAGCAAGCTGCTCCCTGCCGAGGCTGCACCTCTAGCTCATGTCCTGAGTACCATCACTGCCGTATCTGTCGCTGTGGTGAATCTGCAGTACCAAGGAGCTCATCTGCCTGTTCAGGTAGGAGGAGGAGGAGGAGGAAGGAGGACATAGGCTCAGCGAGAGCCCTTCCCTCCTGATCTACAGACATTTTTCCCCAGGGATTTGGACATTTGGTGCCATCATCAGAAGACCCAATTGTCCTGGGAGTCGTGTATGACTCAGTTGCTTTTCCTGAGCATGATGGGAACCCCCCAGGCCTCAGAGTAACTGTGAGAGGAACCTTTGCTTATAGTGGGGTTTCCAAGGACTCCTCTGTGCCTTAGTGGAGGCCAGGGCAGGATGGCCGATGTTGTGTTTCCTCACAGGTGATGCTGGGAGGCTACTGGTTACAGAAGCTGGAAGCTGATGGTCATGAATTGTCTCCAGAGCTGCTCCGACAGCAAGCACAGGAAGCAGTTGCTACACAGTTAGGACTGAAGGAGCCACCAAGTCACTGCTTGGTCCATCTACACAAGGTGAGTTGAGATTCTTATTAGTTCCCCATTGAAAATGAGGACTAGCATGTTTATCAGTATGTCAGCCAAACGAGGCCTTGGAAATCAGTAATAAACTTGCCCTTACATCTTGTCTCTCCTTAGAACTGTATCCCTCAGTACACACTAGGACACTGGCAAAAACTAGGTAAGCTGGGAAAGCGGCTGGGCTGCGGAAGTCAGAGCCCAGCTATAACATTCCTCTCATCCTTCCTTTCCTTTCAGAGTCGGCTATGAGCTTCCTGACTGCTCAGAGGTTGCCCCTGACTTTGGCTGGAGCTTCCTATGAGGGGGTCGCGGTCAATGACTGTATAGAGAGTGGACGTCAGGCAGCAGTTGCTGTCCTGGGCACAGAATCTAACAGCTGATTCCCCTTCTCCCACTCACGAAAATAAAGGTTGCTGGAACTTGGTTTGGTCTTGCTATTCTGTCAACCTACAGGCTTGTTGGGACCAGGGGTGGTGGGAGAGGATAAAATGTCCTGGAATGCAAAAGGCACCAGCAAAGATGAGACAAAGTCCTTTATTAGAAAAGATATCAAAATCCTAGCCCCCTGGGCCAAGACCAGAGGAGATACTCCAGCACAGGCAGGAAATGCCCTGGAAGGGGCTTCCTCCACCAGACAGCTTCTTGGGAACCATAAATAGAATAAATATTCACAGAGGTCCCAGGAGAAGCCAGGTCACTCTTGGAAAAGAGTGACGTCCATGGACGAGGAAGGGGCTTGGGGTCCAGCCCTGCTCCTACCCCGGGGGCAGGGGACTCCCAGGATTCGTCACATAAAATGACAGGGATTCACAGTCATAAGCCCTGATAGGTGGCCCCTAGAAAGAGGAACCTCCAGGTCTAGAGGAGCCCAGCTCCAGTCTAGCAGTGAGGAGAGGTCCCTGCCCCCCAGCCCAGCACTAGAGTTTAGTCCCCTCACATCCCTCCGAAAGCAGTGTGGAGCAGAGGGTGTGGGGAGCACAATCCCTCTGATTCAGTTTCATGATTAAAGTGGGCAAAGAAGAGTCATTGTGAACCGTGGCGAGCTGTGTGGTTGGCAGTAGGCAGAGGGCCAGGCCTAACTGGGGGCCGGCGTTGCAGCATCTCTTGTCGGAAGGCCTGGGAGGAGCCCGGTGGGTATCGGGGACCAGAGGACCGAGGACCCCGAGGGTCAGTCCCAATGTCTGCAGTGATGTTGGTATAGAGAGGACCCAGCTCTCTAGCCAGCAACTGGTATGTCAGTGAGTTCATTCCATCTTGTGTCCAAGAATTCTGGGTGCGGACCAGGAGGTCAAATCTGAAGGTTAAAGGTTTAAGACTAAGATCTAAAAGGAACAGCCTGGAGTTTGGGGACCCCAATAACAACCCCCTTCCTACCTGTGGGGATTTTCCTCATTGCCTTTGTCCCCTCTGTGCTTCACCATCTTATAGTGTCCCACAGAGGTGGGTGGTCGAGAGATCTTCATCCCAGCCAGACGTACCCTAGGAGAAAAGGGAGGGAGCCTTGGAGGAGCCAGAGTGGAAAAAAAGCCGCTGGCAGGTGAACTCGGAAAGTAAAGACAATCAAGGAAGTGATGACACAGGCCTGCACACAAAGAATAATTACTATCTGTCTGGCAAGAAAAATAAATAAAAACTGCCAGGTACAAGAAGGCAGGAGAAAATCAAATAGAAAGAAGGTAAAGTTGGCTGTATCCAAGTCAGCAGGGCCTAATGCCAGATGCCCTGGGGCCTTAAAAGAACTGGCGGAGAGAGATAGGTAACTCTTAGACTTCCTTTCTAAAGGGCTCCTAGGAGTTGCCCTTGGAGTCTTGGGAGGACAGAGAAAAAAGGAGCCATTTTGTCTAAAGCATAGAAATGGCAGACCCCGAGTCATCCACCTCTGCCTTTGGGCTTTAAAGTGAGGCTTACGTATGCTAGACACACGTGACCACCGAGCTGCACCCCTGACCCAGCAAGTCTTATTTAGAAGTAGTGTCCAAACCACCCAGCTCCTTTCCAGCTGCTGCCTTGTGTGAAAGAGAAGCGCAGAAGCAGGCAGGTGCTCAGGACCTTAACCAAGCCCAAACTCTGAAACATAAAAGCAAGGGGTGGAGGAAGTTTGACAAAGAACTGAAAAAAATACATCTAGAATTTTCAGGGTGTAAGATTTACACACAGAGATGAGAATTCACATAAAGATGTTACGGGGGACAAAAGGGGAAGGGAAGCAATGAACCCGGCGCATACCAAGCTCAGATACACTGCTCATGAAACTGGCTCAGGAGAGGCTAAAGGTAAGAATGTTTCACAGGCTAGGACATGAGTGGGCATTGTGCCAGGTAGGAGCCCCTCTCCCTTTTTCCTAAAAAAAAAAAAAAAAAAAAAAAAGGAAAGGAAAAAAGTAATTCTGGGCTATAAGGAGCAGAATCTCTCTCCTCTGTTCTCACGGAAGCAGTCTCTACGTAAGCCTATCAAAATGAAGAGCTAACCTGTCTTTAGGCCCCTTCTTGAGAGCTAGAATTCCATGTTTCCAGTTGATCTTACCCTTTTTCCAAAGAACATAACCAACCAGATCTATCTAGAAAAGTGAAATTTGACGGAACGGGCAGCAGTGGGCAAAGCCTGACCTGAGTAGAGGAAGGTCAAAGGAAAGAATTGGCTCAGTGCAGAACCAGGAAGCTAAAGATCTGTGTTGAAAGACTGTGGCCAGGGTTTGGGAAAGAGGTGTCGTCACAAGTCTGACCTGGTAGCAATGTCATCATCCTCACCACCCCAGCCCCAATATTCATTGGGGAAGCCGTTCATCTTCAGGTACTGGTCAGGAGTGAGCGCCGAAACCCCACCAAAGTACTGGGGGTACGGGAGGCTAAGGAGAAAAAAATCCTTGTATTTCACAAATTTGGAGCATCAACCCTACCCACAATCCCCTGAGCTCTCCACCTGCTACAAGGTTGCTTTCCTGGCTTTCTAGGGCTCTTCCATGCCCTCTACCTGTATCCAAACTTGTTCATGGCAACAGCAACATGGCGAGGTCCCCGGGGGTCGCACACGTACAGGTTATGATCATTTTCTGGAAGGAGGTCCACGTCATGTAAGAACAAGCAGTCCCATTCTTCATCGCGCAGGGCTTCCCGCACCCCAACATTCAGTAGCTTTGCCCTGTTAAACGTTCCATTTCCAGCCTAGAAGATACCGAAGGGGACCGGGTTCAGCATGGAGAAAGCACTCTGTGCACGAGTGCTGAAGTAGAAAGAGGAAGGATCTAAGCGGAATATGGGGCCAAGAGAAGGAAGAACAAAACAGACGGCTGAGTGTGGCGGTACCTGAGTGGAGTCCCAGCACTCAGAAGACAGGCAGGAAGATCTTAGGTAGACTATAAGCAAAACAAGGGCTGGAGATGTGGCTCAGTTGGTAGAGTGTTACCTAGCATTCATTACGTTCTGGGTACCATCCTCAGCACCATATAAAACCAAGCATGGTATCGTGTGCCTGTAACCCCAGTGTGGGAAGGTAGATGTAGGAGGATCAAAAGGTCATCCTGAGCTACATAATAAATTCTTAGGCCAGCCTGGGCTACATGAGACCCTATCTTAAAAAAACAAAACAAAGAGGGGCTGGAGAGGCTGGAGAGGTTTAGAGGTTAAGAGCACTTGGCTGTTCTTCCAAAGGTCCTGAGTTCAATTCCCAGCAACCATACGGGGGCTTACAACCATATATAATGAAATATGATGCCCTCTTCTAGCCTGTAGAGACATATGCAGGCAGAATGCTGTATACATAACAAATAAACAAATCTTTAAAAAACAAAACAAAGGAAAAATCAAAGAAAAAATATAGGAGAGTAGGAATACCCTAACATAATAGGGAGACAGACCTGACAGAAAAAGAATGGGACTAACAAAGTTGAAAGAGGAAGGCTCCAATTATCTACTGTCTAATCCTTTTACAGTTATCCCACAGACCCATTAGATGAGAGAAGAGGCATTTATTTGAGCTTCCCTAACATCAAAGAAAGAGGAAGGAGCCAGGTGTTGGTGGCGCACGTCTTCAACCCCAGCACCTGGGAGGCAGAAGCAGGTGGATTTCTGTGCGTTCAAGGCCAGCCTGGTCTACAGAGTGAGTTCCAGGACAGCCAAAACTACAACACAGAGAAACCCTGTCTCAAAAAACAAAACAAACAAAAACTAAAGGAAAAAAACGAATAACAAGAGTAAGGTGGAAAGTGGGGACACGTGGTAGATGTGGGGATACCTGGTGGATGACATAGATGCCATAGGCAAGCTGTTGGCGCTGTAGGAAGGGGTGCAGGTGGTAGAGCAGCAGACGCAGATGGTGCTCCCTGGCACGATGGGGCACAATTATGGCCGTTCTGGAGCGCGGCTCACATTCTGCAGGACGGTACCGGCCCCCTGGTTCCACCCGGGGGTTCCGCTCCACAATCTCTGCTAGTGATGGCACTGGGCTGAAGGATACTGACACAGGACCCACTGTTGGTAGGGAAAGGGAAGTTCAGAAATTGGAGACACGAGGAGAAAATGGGCATCACAATCTGAGAATACCTCTGGCCAAATAGCCTGATTCAGGGCTCACTTCCCCCAAGGACTCACTCAAAAATCTAATACACCTTGGATTTCCCTTCATTAAGACAGCTCCACAAAGCCTAAAGCTGCAGGCAGGCTCCTTACCTTAGACTACTTACTTTCTTATTTTAGGGTTTATATAACTTTCTCTTGTCCCACACTGAAGCTACAGGAGAAGAGCAAAAGGACTTCTACCTAATAAAGCCAAGACTCATCTACACGAGAAGTAATTCCCACCCTGGGGCATAAAGAGCCCATAAAATGGGCAGGCAGTGGAAAGCTTGGGACCCAAGAGCTTAATCTAACCTCTGAATTCACAGGCCACTCCATCTCAACATGAGCCCAGCTTAGAATACATTAACCTAAGTCTCAATACGCCTGTCCAAGGCTCCCTGCCCCGCACCTTGTTCTCCTCTTCACCCCTTCCCTTGGTACTCACCTAAGAAAGGAGATCTTTCTGGACAGTAAGGCAGAGCTTGAGCTGGAGGAGCCCCCGCCGCGACAGGGGCTCCAGGCAGGTGACTGAGGTTACTATAGACATCGCGGGGATGAGAATAATCAAACGTTGGGCCCTGATCTCGACCAAACAGGGCACTAAGGCTTCGGAAGCCCCCAAGTGACAGATACATCATAACCGCCAGCTGGGAGCCCACAAGCAGGGCCAGTGTGCATGGCCTCTCCAGTAGCCTCCGCAACATCCTGACTTGAGGGCTAGGGAAAGAGTCAAGAGATTTCTGGAAGCAAGCAGGAAGGCGGAGGACAAGGCAGCGGAGACATCAGCGGGTAGAGATGAAAGCGGTGCCGGGAGGAGGAAGAAAAAAATGGGCAGAGAACAAAGTCACAAAAAGAACACTGCTGTAATCAA